CCTCTGCTGATCACTCCAGGATAATTTGCTTTGAAGAAAACAACTTCTGCTGACTAGGGCTTAGTATTCTCAGTTTAAAACAATAAACAGAAAGTGTGTTTTGCAAAAGTTTAGCTTCTGGTTTCCAGACAGGACGTCGCTAGCCTTGAATTGGTCAGGCCAGCCACTGACACAGGGCATCCTTGAGCAGCTACCCTGGTGCCTGCCAGGCCTTGGGCCCCTTGGCTAAAATTCTGGGCCTTGCTGGAGAAAATATTGAGGGTCACCATGTTTTTGTGGCATCTGCCATTTTGTCCCCTCCACAAACATTGCCCTAGAGCATTGTGATAGAAACAAAAATAGCTTATGTCAAAAGGAACCTTTGCCATGCATTGTGTTTCTTTTACAGTGGTACCTCGCAAGACGGAAAACTTGCAAGACGAAAGGGTTTTTGGGTTTTTGAGTTGCTTCGCAAGACGATTTTCCCTATGGGCTTGCTTCGCAAGATGGAAACGTCTTGCAAGTTTGTTTCCTTTTTCTTAAAACCGTTAATACAGTTGCAACTTGACTTCGAGGAGCAACTCATAGAACGCGGTGTGGTAGCCTTTTTTGAGGTTTTTGAAGACTTTGGTGATTTTTGAAGCTTTTCCAAAACTTTTCTGACACCGTGCTTCGCAAGACGAAAAAAATCGCAAGACGACAAAACTCGCGGAACGAATTAATTTCGTCTTGCGAGGCACCACTGTATAAGGGGAAAGTCTGGTGCTCTCTCATACAAGGAGACACACACAGAGATGACAATGAGGGGGTGCCACCCACCCAAAAAGAGTGCTCTTTTCTAAGGTCCTGCTCAGACCTGGAGAAGAGCCTGGTGTGTTGGTATAAACCAGACCTACTTAACTGAAGTACTTGTAAAAGTTGTCTTGGCTTTTCTCCAAGTAGTGCAGGACAGCACAAATGGTTCCCACTATTTCCTTCTCCCTCTTTAAATTTTCATGATGGCATTGTGAGATTGTTTAGACAGGGAGAGGGAGAGATTCATGTCGTGAGTACAGATTTGATCCCAGTCAATATCTGACCACTTTGTCCACTGCGCCCCAACAAAGATATGTATGTTTTTCTGCCATAAGTTAGCCTGCACATGCCGGTGCCCATATTCACAGACGACAGGCCTCTCTTGGGTAGTTGAATGGACCCGCTGTCACCTGAGGCATTTACTAGGCCACCCAACACCTATTGCTACCTGCAGGAACCAACATTATGGGGCCAGCTGCTGGGTGGTTGCTGATTATTTATTTATTTAAGTACTTCTAAAGCACCTAAAATGTTCTAAGCACTGGAATGAGGAGGGAAGAGGAAAGCAAGCATTGGGACAGCTGCTTCATTAGCTGACAAAAGGAGCCATGTCTCCCTCTTGCCATCTGTTGTGAAGGAATCACCTCTGTTTGGGGAAGGGGTGAAGGTCAGTGGTAGAGCATCTGCTTTGTATGCAATAGGTCTCATGTTCAATCCCTGTCATCTCCAGGAAGGGCTGGGATAGACCTCTGCCTGAAACCCTAGAGAACTGATGCCTATCAGTGTAGTCAGTACTGAGCTAGCTGGACCAGGGGTCTGGCTGAGTATAAAGCAGGTTCCTGCACTCTTATATACCATAGTAGTCTTCCTAAGAGGCAGGGGGTGTAGTCTCCCAGCACCCCTAGTTCTCCTGACAGAGTTTGCCTCTCTTTAGCTTCTGCAGGTCCTTTGCCTCGATGGGCCATTGTGGCTTCCTCCTTCCCACTCCCTTATTTTCCCTCCCAATTGGCTCTCTTCCCACCCAGCAGAGTAAGCTCACCTTGTTCACATTACCTTTGCATGGCATGTCCATTGGTGGAGCTTGGAGGTGGTTCTTTTCTGACATACCAAGGGTTGTGGCAGAGCAGTTTGCACGAAACCGGTATTTTGACAGTTTGCTGGCAGAATAGAAGCTTTGTTGCTCTGTGAAATGTTGCAAGCTGAATAAATAAGATATGCCGTGAGGTTTTGCAGCAGGGTGGTGGGTTAGGGTGGGGTGGGAAGAGAGAGAGGGGAGAGAGAGAGAGAGAGAGAGAGAGAGAGAAAGAAAGGGTGGGTGGTTTTGTTTAAAATACTCCCATTTACAGTCAGTTAACCTTTACGTTACCTAAATGAAAATTGTACAAACCTGAAATTTTCGCTGATCGGGTTGCCTAGGAACAGACGGTTGGTTACCATAAGACAATGGATGCACTGTTACTGATAGGGCTATTAGAAATAGAGCCAGTTAGCAGCATTATCCCACATTGCCAGTTCTGTCTCGTGTAATTACCTGTTTTGCACCTCCAAAGTACCGCCCACCTTTCCTTCCTCGCTCTGATGGCAGAATTCGTGTGCAAACAGTGCCGAAAGAAAAAACGATCTCTGCGGGATAAGAGATCCTTTGAGATATTTGGCAAATTTGGATGTTTTTGCCCGGTGGTGAGATCAGGTGCTGTGTTATGAAGACTGCATGGCCAAAATGGCACTACTGAGAAACCAGAGGGAGTTATCAGGCTGCCTGCAGGAACCCCAAGACCTGCAGAAGTAGAAAAATATTTAGGGGAGTATGCTAAGGGGCAATCCCCCTCCCCAAAAACAGCCCAATGAGGACTGAACAGGCCCACTAGCCACAGAATGCTGATTGTATGTGGCGGGGGGGGGCAGGCAGAGGGCCTTCTCGGTAGTGGTGCCCACCCTGTGGAATGCCCTCTGATTTTTTAGAAGACACCTGAAAGCAGCCCTGTTTAGGGAAGTTTTAAATGTTTGATCTTTTATTGTGTCTGTAGTATTCTGTTGGGAGCTGCCCAGAGTGGCTGGGGAAACCCAAATTATTATTATTCTTATTTATCATCCCACCCCCGTTGGCCAACTTTGATGGGGTCAGGGCCATTTTCTGTCAATCATCTGGTGTCATGATGACATCAGATGACTGATAAGTGAGCTGTGGGTTGGGGGGTTTGCTTTGCAGGAATTGTGCTTATGAAACAGCACCAGCTTATGAGCAGAGGTTTCAATCCTGCTGGCTTTGGGGAACATCTTGGCGAAGCAGCACCCAGCAAGAACAGAAGCACCCCTGGTCATCAGCTGTCGTCATCCACTGATGTCAGCTGGTGGACAGGCAAGTGGTGGTGTCCACCCCTGCTGTGACCTCTTGTTGTAGGTCTCACTTGTTCTCTTCAATACCAAACCCAGGATGGGACTGTGCAAATGAAGTGGTGCAACCATGCAGGTTAAGACTGGTTTAGTGCTATCTGTTTCTTGAGATGATGGGGGGGGGCAGATTTTGCCCCAACTCAAAGTTGTCCCTGACAGGACTCCTCTGCTTTCTCCAATATGATTCAATGACTTCATTTCACTTGAACCTCAGTAGCTTTCAGTTCATATATTAGTGGATGGGGAAGGCAGGGGGTACGTATGCTGAGGATATTTATGATAAACTTTGCAGGGCTACAGAGAAGGAACTACATATTTTGGCAAGTTTATTACCAAGAGTCAAACCTAGATAATATGTGAATTTCATGATTGCATTTCATATCTTCTTTTGTTTGTTAAATATCAGCCGTGCTGGAGAAGGCTATGGTCAGAATTGAGACTGCTGGGGTGGGGTGGGGTGGGGTGGGGTGGGGGCGTAGCTGTTTCCTTTCACTAGAGTCCTAACTAAAATCCCTTATAAACTGCTTAATGCTTCAGTCCTGGTCCTGATCACCCCCCCCCCTCCACCATGCCTTCTGTTTAACAAACCAGAGACCTGAAATGCAATCACACTTGCCTAATTTGGTCCTAAATGGTGGTCTAAGTGAAAAGTGAGGTGAAAATCAGACATACCTTTTCTGCTCTGTCTCTTTCACATGTGGTGGCAAGCCTAAGATTGGATGCTCTAAATTTTCTAGTTTGCACCTAATTGCCAGAACACTTCCTTGCTCCTGGTCTGTTCCCTCGCTCACATCAAAGCACCTTTTCCCTCCAAGCATCCCACCTGGTTTCAGCAGCTAGAAATAGTTCTTAGTTTGACCTTGTGCCCTGCCATTTACTTTTGGCCATCGTTGGCCTTATGCACTCTTCAAAGGTTATTAATAGCCAGACACTTGCAGCGTGATGAAAATAGTATTAAGCTTCCAAAGGTACCAGGAATAACCCTTTATTGGTACATTGTACAGAATCCCAACCCCAGCACAAATAGGAATTTTCTTCCTCACAAACCCAATCTGTTGGCAATATTTGCTTGTAGAAAGTTACCGCTGAATTGCTTTGCAATAAGGTTGTGTTGGCAACTAGCCTTTGATTTCTCCAGAACAATGAAGTGTTTTGAAAGGATGAGCTAATCAATCAAAACAACAGTAGGAGAGACAGTAGGAAGTTACTGCTGTCAGGAATTTGTGTGTGGAGATAAGTTAACCTTGCTGGTGGTCCACTGTGTATTGTTTTGTATGTCTACACGAATGCTCATGCTTATAAGAGTTTAAGCAGCGGACTACTCATTCAGCAAATAACTCTAACCAATGTAGTCCTGGGTGGTAGAGTTGCAGTACTTCTGTCACAGGTATTATCAACAGGTGTCTGTTGCAGTCATTCTCTGTATGGCAATTGCATTAGAAATGATAAACATAATAGCATTTGGAGTGAAAATAAGCCTGGTTCTTGTACAACAAAACAGCTATAGCTGCATGTTTATTTCACAAAGTAGTAACACACTAAAAGTTAATACAGCTTAACTTACGGACTTCAGCTTTTAGCTGTGTGACCTATCCACACATTATCTCTGCCTTAGCTGGGTTTGTACTGTCTGCTTTCTGAAGTCACATTACACATATTTACTCTTTGAAAATCACTTTACACTGCTGGCCTATTTTTAAAGTTCACATTTTACAGAAGAGCAATGCTAAAAATAACCCCCCCTTCCCCCACAACTTAACCAGATCAGTTCAGCATTTGACATTTTACATGAATTCATTTGCATCTCATTTGTACATGTTTCTGCTTAATAGGTGGAATGTAAGAAAGCACAACCTAAAGAAGTGATGTTTCCGCCAGGGACGAGAGGAAGGGCTCGTGGATTACCATATACCATGGATGCTTTTATGCTAGGGATGGGAATGTTGGGTAAGTGTGCAATAGATGAGCCATCGGCAAGAATGTGTCTATGTTTTCTGTACATATTCCAAAGCTCAGAGCTGCCTAAACTGTTGTGTGCAATAGATGAGCAGTCAGCAACAGCCTGTTCCAAGATTCGGAGGTTCGAAAATTGCATGACTTGTGCAAGATAGAGCGGTGTGGACGATGGGGGCTCAATTATCCTTTCTGTGCTAAAAGGCGACCACATGCACACTCTGGAATACCCAAATTTGCATTTAAATGGATGTTTTCAGTGGGCCCTTCCACACACATTCACAAAAGCAGAATTATGCTTAAAACTGTTCTCTTCCTCCGCCTCTTCCCCCCACCCCCAAAGAATTGAGTCACACATTCTTAAAGGTATCTTTGACAGTTCAGCACAGATAATTAAAAATCTTCATGGCTTTAAATGGCACAGAAGATGGAGAAAGCCCAGCGAGAAACATAATAGCGTGGTTGTAGCAATAATTAGAAGTTCCAAGGAGAGAGGACGGTATTTGAGCCCAGACCATTGTGTCCAGAAAGTACTAATTAAATGGGATAAATGGTATTTAATGCTGAAATTCTATTTGCGTGGCAGGTCATCTCAGTTATAATTGGCTCTCATTTGTTTCTCCTTAGCTGTTCTTCCTATATTACCTGACAACTGCTTGATTGTAAATATATATTAAAAACTGGGGGGAGATAGGTCTACCCCAGCGGAGATGCTGATTATCCACCCCACTACCTCCCCATCCCTTAAATGTTCAATTGATTCTCCTCACCTCTTTTCCCTTAATATCATTGAGGTAGTCCTTGGCCACTCTTCTATCTGAGCCCTGAGTATTCTAGCTAATCTTGGGCTTTTCCTTCCACAACCGCTGGGAAAAGTCCTGGGCCTTGAGCACCTTATTCAAAAAATACAGTGGTACCTCGAGTTACAAACGCTTCAGGTTACAAACTCTGCTAACCTGGAAGAGTTACCTCGAGTTGAGAACTTTGCCCCAGGATGAGAACAGAAATTGTGTGCCGGCAGCACAGCGGCAGCAAGAGGCCCCATTATCAAAAGCACACCTCTAGTTAAGAATAGTTTCAGGTTAAGAACGGACCTCCGGAACGAATTACCGTATTTTTTGCTCTATAAGACTCACTTTTCCCCTCCTAAAAAGTAAGCGGAAATGTGTGTGCATCTTATGGAGCGAATGCAGGCTGCGCTGCTATCCCAGAAGCCAGAACAGCAAGAGTGATTGCTGCTTTCACTGTGCAGCAATCCTTCTTGCTGTTCTGGCTTCTGAGATTCAGAATATTTTTTTTCTTGTTTTCCTCCTCCAAAAAGTAGGTGCGTCTTGTGGTCTGGTGCGTCTTATAGAGCGAAAAATACGGTAAGTTTGTAACTAGAGGTACCACTGTAACTAGATTAATATGAAACAATTTGAAAAAAAGCATAGTAGCTTTGATATAGGCATTTCATTTTTTCTTTGTCTTTTTGTGAGAGTGGAGAAAGGAGAAACTGGGGGAAAAGAAGGGAAGACAAAATGGTGCAGTTCTCAGGTCCCTCTGTTCCCATATGTAACCTCACAAACTGTCACAGGGACCGATCATGTGAAAGGCTTTCCAGTGCAGGGTGTGCAACCTCCAGTGCCCTCCAGGGGTTGTTGCACTCCACCGTCCGAGATCATTGCCTATGTTCTGCTGGAGATGATGAGAGCTGTAGTCTAGCAAGATGTGTAGAGCATATTATTGGTAACTATGTGTCCACCAGATGTTGTCGGACTACAACTCCCATCATCCCTGACAACTGGCCATCCTGACTAGGGCTGACAGGAGGTAGAGTCCATCATGTGGAGGCCCACAGATTGCCCATCCCTGCTTCTAGAAATAAATAAAAGGAAAGCCTGGCAGATGTATATAGCGAGAATGCAACAACACTATAAATAATATCTCACATGTAAATACTAAAATAATATAAATGATTTACTTTAGTTCTAAGTTAGCATGGTTCAGTGGTCAAAATCGCACCATTGTTTAGGGGAAATGTGATGTGATCAATTGATTTTAATTACCCCTTTTCTTGCTCATTTAAATCATTGATTACTATTATTTTATTGCTGATTTAAATCACATTAAACCAATCCACACTCCAAAAATCTGGAAAGGGTATTCAAAGCCAAGCTTACCACTGTTAATCAGAAGAAAGGTTTAACCCTGAGGCATATTTATGACTGAGTACTATTTGGGTTAGCTCTTGGATTATCTTAGACATTAAAATAGAACTGCGTGTGGAAACTGCAGGCTGGCACCTCAGTTGAAAAGAAATGGCATGTATGGGTTTTGGCAGATCATCTCTTGCCGCACAGGTGCCTGTTAGTGCATGTAGAGTGCATGGATTCATTAAGAGATCCAAATTGGTTCTGTTCCACTGGTTTTTGCAGGGTGACTCCTAATGTGATCTTATTAGATTTTAAATCACCCTGACTTGCTCTGAATGAATGATTGATTCATGATGAAGGCCAGATGCTTAACTATCTGCTCTAGTTCTTCTCTGGCCCCCTCTACCCCTTTCCCAGCTCTTGGTTATTGAGGTGGCATCATTATGAAGCCGTCAAGTTGCAGCAGATAAGTCTGAGTCTGTCTTGTCCATTATGTGCATGTATCCCTAGTTGCCTCCAACAAGTCAGCTTCAAGGTCGACGGCTGTCAGCGGATTCTCAGCATGCAATCAAAATTTTCCATTCCTTACTCGTCAGTTGCACAGCAGTGAAATCCCACCCATGAACAGAAGAAGGGTGTAATTAACTCATCAAGCAAAATTAGCACAGGGAGACTGTGATGTGGCCTGATATTTAGCCAAAGACCTTTAGTCGCACAATTGCATTGCTGATTCTCGGAGAATGAAACCAAGTATTTTTATTTTATTTTTTATACCCTTGAAAGCATTGTCTCCAGGTTGGCAGCCAGCCTTCCTCCAAAGCTGGTGAGGACTGGAGTCCATACAGCTTGGCCAACCTGAGCTTGGATTAAAAAGCATAATCAGTTCCCAGGATTGCTCTTCAGGAACTAACATAGGTGACCCATTCTGACTGAATGCTTTTTCTAGGCAGCTACTTTAGGAGTCATTCCAGAAGCTAGAGTGTAGATACAAAACATTTAGTCAGAAGGTGCCTATAGAAGAGAACATTTATATCAAAAGAATGGGTCTGGTACTCAGCAGCTCTGCTGGTGACCCACATGAGCTGTGGAGAGTTTTCATACAGGATATAAAGTCAGGGCTGCCTGAAATTATGCTCATTTGGGAGCTTCCCCCAACTGGGTCTTGGTAGACTAGCCATGGAGTCTTGTATCAGCGTTCAGTGTATAGGCGCCATGTCTAGGGGGCCCTGGGTGCCAGAGAACCCACAAAAAATCTGGGTGCTTAGCATCCACAACACGGGGCTCCGACGTAACTTCCAGTTACCGAAAGTCATGTTGGAGCCCTGACACAGCCTCCCAGATGATGTTGGAGGCCCTGCCAGGCCTCTGAACAGGATGTAATCTCCGAGACCCCATGAGGCCTCAGAAGAGCCGCCACATCACTGACTCAATGTGATGTCATGATGTCATAACATCGTGTTACATCACAGGTGCCATTGGGCACCCATAACCTGGGGCCCAAGTCAGCACCCCTGCTTCATTGTCAGCAACTTGGATGAAGAAAGACAAAATAGCATGCCAGTTTGATTAGCCCCCCTCCCCCTTGTCAGATGTGAAACTCATGGCTTGGTTGCAATCAAGCAATAGGTTAATTATCTGGAAGATTTGTCCCTGTGTCTGGTCTCTGTTGGCCCTCTGATTGTTACAGGAACCATGTGACATCACACTGATGTGAGTTAAATTTGACTCTTAGAAGTTACATAGTGGGCCAAATTTGAGCTGGTGTCTGAAGGATCTGGGCTGAGGTTCAGAGAGGTCGCACTTAGATGCACATCGGTCCAGTTCTGATCTTACAGCCAACAGCTGTTCATAGTGGTCTGTTTTAGTACGAAGTGTATTTAGCATACAGTTCACAGGGATGTTGAAACCAAGCATGGCAGCCAGTTTGCAGGTGTGGATATACTTTTGCACTGCTTTCAGTTGTTTAATCAGATGGGGAAATGCATGAATGCCTACTTTACTTCCTACTCTCTGGAGTCCTAGCACATCGAAATTTCCTCCACAACATGTTCAAGCACTCTCTCCAATTCCATAGGGGACTGTAGTGGAACAAAATAAAAGTTATCTTTGGTTAATCCTTCACGAAGATAAGGCCTTAACTTGAGACATAGGTCTTATTTTTAAAAAAGTAATGGACCCACATCCCAGTCTCAAGGTGTCCTTTGAGCATGTGATTTTTTTATATGCCTCGCCTTACCAAGACAAAAACTTAGGGTTCCTTTCTTTTGTTACCGCCCCCCCCCAGCAGTGGCAGGCATCTTAGCTGTGACCATCTGTTAAATACAATACCTAAAGCTTCTAACTCACCACCTCCTTTCCCTCCCAGGCTACAAAAAAAGCTCAGCCAGTAAAATTTATATCTCTGGACCACTGAAATACTACCTGATGTGAACGTCTTGATTCCAGGAACTCTCTGACTGACTTTTTAATATTACTGCGGGAGCCAGACCACAGCTCCGCAATAGTGCACACGTTCAATCTAGCTGGGCTGCATTCATGCATAAAAGAGGCTTGTGCCCTTCAAAGAAAGTCATTCTTGTAGAGGAGATACTCCTTATGAGAGAAAGCAAAGGGAAGGGTGGCATTGGCACGAGAACACCAAAAGCTCGATGCCTTGAAGTCCCATTAGAAACCATCTCAGGCACCCAAGTCTTAGCTTTTAGTGTTATTTCCAGGTGACATTTTTTGCAGAACAGGAAATTGGGACAGCGGCTTGAGCTAAGACAAAGGAAGGGAAAGGCTGAGTAGAAGAGAAATCTCTCTCCCCCCCCCCTTTTCTTGGTCTTACTTCAGGAGTATAGTTTAGGTGATTAAGATGGC